AACAAAATATTTAGCTATTTTTAAGATAAATATTTATCAATTTGAGGTTCAGAAAACTTATTCAAGTCATATCGATATTAGGCTAGGCGGAGTTGTTTGATAGTCCATTGATGGTGACAGTAGTTTCCCAATTATGATCATCCCTAGAACTTTACCTTTTACATTCATACCGCACAAATCTTTCATATCAAATAAAAAATGTCATCATTTTTAACTTTTGAAAAGTGAATTACATCTTTTCATACATAGATAAATTGGTATTATGTAAAGATTAAAATGTAAATATTAAGTATGTAAATACAAAAAAGTTGAGTGGTATGCAGGTAAGTTTCTCTTTTTAATTTCAATAAATGAGATCGTCAACAACCATAATTTTACCCCAATGGTTAACATGAATCCAATTTGTTCACAATCATATTTAACCTCTCTAAAAATACAAAATCATCAAACTTCCATGGCTACATGATCTAATTCTTTGCTTCAAGAAAAAAATTTTCATTGTTAGAAGTGGAACCCGGTACGACCTCTTCTTCCGCTCCTGGATCGTGAATCGCGGTCTCCCGCTCCCGCCTCCTCATTTCGTGAATCGTCGCGACTCCTCACGCTCCCGCACACGCGAACCGTTCCCGCCTCCATTTCGCGAAACGTCACCTCCTTTGTCCCGAAGCTTTCTGTTCACGATAAAAAAGGCTTCTCACTCGTGATGCTTGACTCTCCCCATCTCTCCAGATTTGCGAAATCCGCTGAAGAAGGATTCGGTTCCTTAGTTCGTGAAACATAAATAGAAAGGAGAAATCTCCTTTGATTCTTCTTCTTCTTGAGGCTTACAAAAGGGAAAGAAGAAGTTTTTTGTTTGAGGTGAATATAGTTGGAAGAAATTGTTGCTTGCGGTGTTTCCTTTCTTTGCACTTATCTTCTATTGTGACTCTCGAATATAGAGAGAGGAAATAAGAAATTTCTTCCTTGTAATTGTCAACGTGATCAGGCGGTGTACATTTCCTCAATTAGTAAAATCCTATGCAACTCCGTGGATGTAGGCAATTTGCCGAACCACGTAAATCTGTGTGTTCTTTTGGTGTGAATTTTCTCGTGCTATTTTATTTGCTTCGTCGTCGATCGTTTTTAAATTTCAAATACACCACAACAACTGCATCACATCATCACTCAATCTAATTAGTGGTGAAAACGAGCCGAACAAGAGCAAGCCTAGGCTCGGCTCGTGTTTGGCTCGTTAAAGAATATTATTGTTCGTGTTTAGCTCGTTTATATTTCAAACACAAAAAGTCTGTTCATGTTCAGCTCGTTTACTTAGCAAGTCGAACACGAGCTATTCGCGAACAAAGAATCATTTTGACAACATTAATTGCGCAGCCGTAGGATGTTAAGGGTTGGGGCAAGCTTTAAATCTTATTGTTTATTTTAAAACTATTATATTTTTATTTTATTTTTTTAATTAATAATTTTAATTAATTATAAATCTTTATAGCATTGTAGTCAATCAAACTTTTTTATAAATAATACTCATCAATATATATATATATATAATTGATTATTAATATTTCAAGCTAAAATGATACTGCGAGAGTCGAACAAAAGCTGTTCATATATATATATATATATATATATATATTGATGAGTAGTACTTCGAGCCAAAACTAACCAAACACGAACGAACAAGTTCATGTTCGGCTCGTTTAAATTCACGTAGATCATTACGAAATCTAAGATAATAAAATTTCTCAACGTAAGCACTAACAGAGCGATATTCTTGGGTGCTTCTCTGAGCTTGCACATACAATATTTCTTCATAACCGGAAGTCAATAAATCATTACGTAGAAGTTGCTTCATCTAAACCCCAATTTTTTATAGGTTTTCTTCCCTCTCCCACGAGATTGATTCAATTGCAGCCACCAAGCACTCGCTCAACCTTTCAATCGACATGCGACCTAACAACACACTTGTTTTTCTATATCAACATCCATATATTCAAAGAAGGCCGCCAACATAATGTTCAATTTGAAGATCGCTACCGGAGGAAGACTCCCATCCATCACACTCTTTGGCATCAATATTTTATTGCAAACCAAACTAATCCAAAATAATTATAGTATTAAAAAATGATTAATGTCCAAATAATGTTTTAATCATGTTTTCTCAAATTAATCAAAATAAAGCGGGCCAGCCTCAATAAATGCTTTTCACGTTTTGGAGATGATAAATTAATTATTGCCATTGAGTTGGTGAGAGTGAAGATTTCAGAAAGAATTGACCGTGGAAACAAAAATATGGGCCAATTACGTATACAGGACTACAAATATTGATGTTTACAAATCAAACTCTTCTTTCATTTTGTTAGGCATGACTCATATACTATATGAGGGACAGATGCTAGAGCGGAACGGAGCGAGCGGAGCGGAGCGGAAGAATCTATCCAATTGAGAGAGTTTGGTTATGTGTGTTGAGGGTGCGGGGGTAATTACACATTGTACTCTAACGTTTTATATATATACATATCATGTTTGTAATCCTAGGAATAATTCTGTACTCTTTTTCTGGAATTGAAATAAAGTCGCCGCTCTGCTCCCGAGGACATATGCATCTTTGCCGAACCTCGTTAAATCTTTGTGTTCTTCTTCTGAATTTGTGTTTCTTTGCCCTAAATTCTTCAACACAGTTAAATATTAAAACTCATGCTAAAATTTCTACTAATATTTTTTATTTTTGATTAAATTCTCAATGATTTAATTGTGGCACTCATTAAAAATAACTACAATATTTGGCATGTAGATGGCAACATTGTAGATGTTCTGTATGTATACGGGCTATAAATTAGGATTGAAACAAATTACTTACGGTGTCGCATCGCAGTCTTTTCTATTTATCAAAATTGCATTTAATTGCTTTTTCAGAAAGTTATAGCTCAAAGTTGTGTTTTAGTCTTTTCTGTCACTCTAAAATCTCTAATTCTATGCCCCATAATTTATTTTCTTATTTCCCATCACATTTTTTTGAAACTTCACAACCTCTTCTCCAAACAACTACTATTTTCGAAAACAGACCCTAAGCCATTCAATAAAACCCCCTTCCACATTCTCCCTCGTACATTTCCATCTTACATTTCCCCTCCAAATTTTCTTCAATGAGAAGAATGAATTGTCTTCTCCCGTTTAGAAAACATCATAATGCTCAAAATTTCTCATCAACTCCATCCCCCTGTCTTGACAACAAGTGTTATTCTGTTGCTTCGATCTCATCCACTCCCATCCGAAGAACAACAAACTATCAGCCGAGCCCATGGGATGACAGCCAAATACAGTCTCTGAACATTACTTCTTTCACTGTAACATACATATATATTTGCATTGTTTCTCTTATCTAATCTATATCTATACATTTTTTGGATCATATATGTATATATGTTTATGTACAGGGAGATGTGCATGTAAAGAGAAGAGAGGAGCTGAAGGAGGAAGTGAAGTGGCTTATTAAGGAGAAGGGATTTGCTGATCAGCTGGAGCTTTTTGATTTACTGCAAAAGCTTGGAGTGGCCTATCATTTTGAAGAGGAGATCAAAGATTCGTTACATTTGATGAGAACCTTGGAAGAAGAGTTAAGAATGACTAACGATGCTTATGTCATGGCTATGTATTTTAGGCTTTCAAGGGAGCATGGCCTTGTGGCCTCCAAAGGTTATGGAAATTTTCTAATTAATTTATTAAGTGTGATCTTCTACTTAATTAATTTGTTTAGTGCGCGTGATCTTCTTCACTAAGTGTTTTTATCAATGAATAATGTGCAAATTCTGGTTGTTCGGATGCCAGCGTGAATCGCACTTACGCTATCGTGCATTCGGTGTGGTGCGTTCCACTCTGTCGTCCGAACATACTTTTTTGAACATAATTTGTATCTATTAATGGAGCCTATAATATGCAACAAAGAGAAAATTTCAACGCATAAAATTGAATCTCTTGAAAATGTAAAAACCCCTACCTAACAAAGGCGCAATGAGGGAAGGGCTTTAACCACACAAATCAATTAAGCAAACTTACATACAGACATGGATGCATGCTTGATAAATTTGCAAACTATAAATGGTTTAATTATCTTAAAAAATCTTTGCCTTGGAATAGCAAATTAATTTATTACTGCTAAAATTGTTATTCCGGAACAGATTTGTTGGTTCAATGCTACAAAGATAAGAATGGGTCCTACAAGCCTTCTGTACTCCATGATACCAAAGGAATATTAAGCCTCTATGAGGCTTCATTTCTTGCTATGGATGGGGAAGATGAGCTAGATGAACTAAAGGAGTTTACTCTGAAACAACTAAGATATCTAAAGACATCAAATTCTTCAACAAATCCAAAGCTTTCAGAGTACATAGCCAAAGCCTTGGAGCTTCCTCTCCACCATAGAATTCCAAAGCTTCAAGCTCCAATTTTCATCCGGCTAGCTCGCGACATAGAAGAAGTTAATCCGGACCCAATTGTAATAGAATTCGCTCAACTCGACTTCAACATGACTCAAAGCATCTACATCAGAGAGCTCAAGGAGATTACATCGTATGTATAGCTTGTTAATTTCCTTATATATGTATATATGCAAGAATGTGTCACGTACTTAGATCAGTTGGTCGTGCATCTGTTTGTCCTCTGGTTTGGGTTTCGATTTCCTCCGAGTGTAGGGTGTGGTACTTGAATTCTTAGATGTATGAGG